GACATTCTTCCATCCCCCCCAAAAAAACTGGTCATGGGGTTGAATGGGGGCAGATGAAGCTTACCAACCCAGATGTAAAATAAAGCGGTTTTTGAAAGAAGAGAGGGGATGCGAATTCAACAGTCCAAGCAGGTTTATTGCTGACCCTGAGAGGGCCCCCTCTGTCCTGGCAGGAGAACAAAGGAAGGAGGGTCTCTAATAGGTTAGGAGGCTTTTTACAGCCAGAGCTCTGGCAGGCTCTTTGAGGGAAGGTGTCAGAGAAAAGGGGGGCTTGAGGCTTGCTGACGTGGCCTCTGGAGAATGCTTGTAGCCTAGGTAGATGACACCTAGGTCTCTGTGAGGTGGTGGGTGGATTTATTCAATAGGCAGTCTCAGGTTCAGATTCTGTCAGTTTTCCCCATCATTCCATGGCGAGCGAGCCGTGGAACCACAGACCCTGGTGAGGAAGCTGAGAGGCAGACGAGGGACCCACAACCCGCAGCGTGGAGACTGTCCTTGGCCTTGGTCCCTGTGCCACAGAGAAGCTTCCAGAAGAAGCTGACAGAAGGGACACTCTGCCAGCCCCTTAGCCGGTGGTGAGGAAGAGGGGAAGGTGGCCAGCAGTGGGTCAGCCTCCCAGGCCCTTCAGGCCAGGAGCACCCGGGGGTGTGAGGTGCCCCCCCACCCCCAGAAAAGAACTCCTACACAGAGCAAGCCTGCTCTAGGTCCTGCCGTGAGCCCCTCGGCTAGTCCTCAGCTGGGTCTTGGAAGGTGGGGCTGACCACCCCACTTACAGATCGGGAAACTGAGGCTCGGAGCACTGATAGGACTTGCTTTTGGAGGAGTTGGGGTCCTGAGGCAGGGCTCTCTCCCCCCAGTACCCAGCATGGCCCAGGGCAACATCCTGCTATCCTCCTCCACCTTGCAAAGCTTGATCTGAGGAAAGAGCTTTCCTGTGGGCTGCCAGGTCACCAGCCCCACGGGCCTCCACTCCCCCGTCTGAGAAGGCAGAAGACCAGGCTCACTGAGGTAGCTAAAATGACTGACAGGGAGACACGGGCTCAAATACACACTCTGACAATTCCCAACCGGGAGAACTCAGGGAGCTGCTTAACCTCTCAGGCCTCAGTTTCCCTAACTACAAAAAAGGGGGTAGTCATGCAATCTACCCACGGGCTCTCATGAGGATGTGATGAGACACCGATGAGAGGCGCAGGCCCGGGATGTTGTGAGCGCGCCCTAGGAAAGGTGACGGTGCTGGTGGCTGATGATCGCCGTTAACACTACCGCTCCTGTTGCTGTGACTGACAACAGCAGGCAACCAGCTCGCTGCCAATGCCCCCAAAAGGCCACCAGCCTCGGGACCATCTGGCTGGGTTATCTCAGCAACAGAGGAGATTCGGTGGCTCAAAACAGCCCCAGCACCAGCATGGCCATCAGGTACAGTGACTAATGATCTGAAACAGCAACTTGATCTCCCTCCCTCACTTCCCACCTGACGCTGATACTGACAGCGCCTGACGTGGCGGGGCAGGTGGTTTCTCCCTCCAGAACAGAACTACAGCTACGTGTAAGACTCAGGCCACCAACAGGAAGCCACCAACCTCCCACCCCGATGACAACTTTGCACGCACGAACCTGCTACAGCCCACACTGGGCCCCACTTCCACACTGGGCCCCACTTCTAAGAGGCTTCCTTAAGAAATAACCTGAAAAGTGAATGAAGATTCACTAGGTTGCGCATATCGTGAACTCTTGGGAGCAACTCCAGTGAGTGTCCAGCCACAAGAGAAGAGCTAATAAATCAAAATAAGTGTGAACACTAAGCAGCCATTAAACACCATGTTTTTACAGGATGTTTTTTTTTTGTTCGTGAATGCTCATAGTAGCATAATTTTTTTTATTTTGGTATCATTAATATAAAATCACATGGGCAACATTGCAGTTACTAGATTCCCCCTATTACCAAGTCCCCACCACATACCCCATTACAGTCACTGTCCATCAGCCTAGTAAGATGCTACACAGTCACTACTTGTCTTCTCTCTGCTATAGTGCCTTCCCTGTGCTCCCGTCTGTTATGCGTGCTACTTGTAATGCCCCTTATTCCCCTTCTTACAAGGTGTTTTTAAGTGATGTGCAGCCAGTGTTGATGTTACCGGCGGGCACACAGAAAAGACATGTGCACCCAGCTCCCGTTCATGCAGCCGGCGGTCAGCAAGGCCCTGCTCTGGATCAAACTGAGAATGACAAAACACAGTGTGGGATCCCAGAACGGATCCTGGAACAGATAAAGGACATTACTGGAAAATTCGGTGAAATCTCAATCACACAGGCTTTCTCAGCCTTGGTGCTGACGTTTGGGGCAGGATCATCCTTTGCGATGGTGTTTGGGGGCAGGGGGGCTCTCCTGTGCATTGTCCTGAGCAGCATCCCTGGACTCTACCCACAAGATGCCAGCAGCATCTCCCAATCCCTTCAGTTGTGACAATCAAAGAATGTCACCAGACACTGTAGTGTCCTCTGAAAGTCAAAATTGTCCCTGGATGGGAGTCACTGGAATAAAGTTAGTTGATACTTAGTTCAATAGTATTAAACCAATGTTAATTTCTTCCCTTGGACAAATTACTTTTGTTATAAGATGCAACATGAGGGGCAGCTGGAGGAAGGGTATACAGGAACCTCCCTCCTATCTCTGCAGCTTCTCTCTCAATTTGAACATATTCTGCTGTAGATAGAGGGGTCAGGAAGCCCACGGTGCAGAGGGGACATTGAGCAGAAGCCTGAGAGCAGTGAGGAGGGACCTGGACTGGGAGT